GGTGCAAAAGGAAGATTGAGCCAAGGGATCAGAAGATTGTTTCTCAGGTCCATAATTTATATCCTGCAAGAAAGTAGAATTAGCAGACAACAGCTATGCCCATGTGTTACGGAGTAACGATTCCATGTTGTCTGTTGGCAATGGTTTTTCATGAGGGGCTTTTCCATGAGCTTTCTGAAGTTCACATGCATGGATTTAAAAAATAAATTGCACCTGCAAGTGGCCCCAAGTGATGACCTGATTGGCAACAACCAGGAGAGTCAAGATATAAGTTTGAATCAAAATGTCATCACCAACAGCCGTACATCAACTCCCAAGAGAATCAAGTTAAGAAAAAGACTCAATTTAAGCTCAAGTCATAGTCCAAAACTGATTAACAAAAAGGTGAATTGCTCAGGAATGAAACCAGAAGCATGCAATATATTTCAATATGTGAAAAAAAAAGTGCACCAAAGTAAATATGTAAATGTCATTTTCCACAAACTTCAGCAAATACTCTTGTACTTTTAATTGTTTTAATCTTTGTTGGAACATAAGCTCTCTGAGAAGGCAGAACATTTTGTTTTGTTCAACAGGGTGTTAGAAGTGCCTAGCACATAGTGTGTGCTCATAAACATCTGTCAGCTTTATTGAAACACAGAATTAGCCCCAAGCCTCGCGTTAAACACAGTTAGTTAGATGGTTCTATATTGAAAAACAGTGCAGTCCTAGGTGCAGAAAGAAATTTGTTCCAATTTTCTAATCTCGTGTAACAAGTCATCCCAGACGTTGTGGTTTAAATGGTACTTATTAATTTCCCAGTATTTGGGGGATGGCTGGGTGGTTCTTACTTGGAGTTCTTGTGTGTATAGTCTGGTGGTGGCTGGGCTGATGGTTCCTTCATCGTGAGGCTGTTGAAAGCTGGCAGAAAGTAACCATTTCTTCCTCCAGGTGGTGTCTCCACTTGGCTCACTTCTGCTTCCTCACAACATGGGCGGTAGGAGTGATTTCTTACACCATAGCTGGATCCCCATAGAGCCAGTGTTAGGAGAGGCCCAGGTGGCAGCTGTCTTGCTGCCTTAGAAGCCTTAAGATCATTTATGCATGTTCCAGGAAGGAAAGGATTCATCTACTCACAGGATATTAAACTCATGATGGTATTGACAAAGTGACCTTCTGAACAGAATGCCATGGAAAATATGGAGCAGATAGTGTTGAACGGTAATTAAGAGTGAAACGGTGTGTCTGGTTAGGTTGCCTTGGGCAAGCCCTGACTTCACCATACACCAGTTCTCTTTGACACATCTGGGCCATTTCAGGTTCAGTTTCTCACCCATAATAATGAATAAGCCCATTCAAATTGCATCGTTAGATTATTCTGCCATTAGGCATGTTTTGGTGGAACATTTTGAGACTCCTTGTAAAAGGAACATGGAAGCTAACATAATCAAACTAATTTGGAATATTGTTTTTCTTGTCACTTTGACCACTAAATAACTCTAAAAAGTGGAATGAACCAGTGATTGGTTGGTCTAAGTTTTAGGAATGTAGGAGATGATCCTTCTTGTCTTTGGCCTTGGTGCATGCAGTTACGGTGCAAAAATGCTGCAAATCATCCCATCCCTGACCTTTCTGAAGTTTACTATTAGATAAATTTATTACACATCAGTCCTTACTGATATTTAGATCTCTGTTCTTTAATGCTAGAAGTGTACTCCTCAGTGAGCCTGAAGAAAATTCTACTTCTTTGCAATGAATTCTGCTACCACTCCAGATTCATCCTGTTAGCCATCTGATGCAATGTTGAATGAGTTTTCTGAATCAATGCTGGTTTCTTGGAAGCTGAACCATGTAAAGGCTTTCAAAGTTAGAACCTGTACCTGTTGTTCTTATGAAGCCAGGAAGGGTCCGTTGATTGGCTTCTGGATATGTGAAAGTGAAGAATTTGGAGATTGCTTTTGGGATCATTTCCTAATCTTATGCTGAAGCATCAGTTCTGTTTGTCCTAAGGTTATTTTAGGTAGTTAATAGATCTGCCTTCTCTTCATTTCACTTGATCTTAGACAGCAAGGCATTCTGATTGTTGAGCGTTACTGTGTTTTTATCTTTTTTCTTGGTTATCTACATTCTTCTGTATGATGGAGTGTCAGAAGAGGCTCACCGAAATAAAAATCAAAGGACTGTTTTCATTTTCTAGTACTACCTTGTAGATCGTCTGTTCACATAACCATCAGTATTCCACCTTCTTCTTGGCATATTATGAGGGAACCATGAAAGGTTTTAAAAACTCATAAGAGCATTCAAGTGCAAGTCATTCTTAACAATGGCAAGGAGATAGATGTTGTTGTTTTCCAGTTCTGAAGAAGGTAGACTTCCAAAATGTTTAAGGTGTGCTGGGAATATTATAGGAGATGAAGATCGACTTTTCTGCACCTGGTCGTGAATGTTTTTCAGACCAAGGATGTGATTTCTGTTCCTCCCGCCTCGTTCTTTTAAATGCTGTAGTCGTTTTCAGTCTTTCTCAGTGAATGTTCTTACTCCCATCTCCCCATACGTTCCACCCAGTATCCGTGTTGACCCACAGTTTTTGCCTTTAAAGAGAGTTACCATCAAGGAGGATGAGCAGACCAGAGTCAGTGTTGTGGCCAGATTCATGAGGAGTGGTAGGAATCTAAATGATAATTGTGTACACACAGGTCACCATGGGTGCCTTGTGAATAGTATTTCCAATGTGGAATGAAGAGCATTACAGTCTTTTGATAGAACACAACCAGAGTACTCAGATACAGTTGTCTCTAGAGATTCACATGTGGGAACTTACCACAAGAAGTGGTAGAAAAATGTGACTGTAAGATCTTAGTGTAGGCTTTGAAAGTAACGTTTCACAGTCATTTCAGTGTTGCTGATGGGAAAATTACTCATGAGGATACGCAGCATTTAGAATGAGTATTTTATAAAACCTAGTAACTCAAATTCGAGACAATTCGTGATGTAGGAGTCATTCCAAGTATTATATGTCGTTGTCCATTCATGGAGACGTGCATGGAATCAGGAGCCTGAAAAGAGTGATGGTCTCTTTAAGATCCTTCAGTGGGCAACCAAACTTTGCTTTCATTATGGAAACAGTTGTAAAGGACAGTTTTCTTACTTCCCAAATTTCGTGTCATGGGGCTTCTTATTCATGTCAGTCATGAACTCTGGGAAGGGACAACAATCCCAGTTGTGAGTAAAAGGCCCATGGAAGTGACACAGATTGGGAAAGCCGAGAATTTGTTTGGAAGTTGAGATAAAGAATGGACTCTGGGTATATCAGATGTTTCATACTTTGTTTTAAAAACAGAATAGTTAACGTGTTTGTAGGAATAGATAGCATGTGGATTCAAACTTGACACATACGTTCGATGTTTTTGTAAAAGCTGCTTGGTTTTCAGGTCGTTTACTCTATTTCACTGCCTTTCCCACTCTTAGTAAATAACTATTCAACTGCTACAGTCTTTATAACCTTTATGTTTTACATAATTATAGTCTGTGCTGCTTCATAGTAAGACTGTACTCCACCCAAATTAGAAGAAGTCGAAGAAATTAATTCAATAGCAGTCAAATTCACGTAAGTGAATGCTGGAGGCTCAAGGATGTGTAAGTACTGATTGGCAACATCTAACTGCTGGAGGCTCCAGGATGTGTAAGTACTGATTTTGTGCTGCTCGCACAAACTTCTCTTTATTTGTATTATTAGAAGGATATAGTATAAGTCTTTGTCAATGAAATCCTCAGAAAGGAGGTGATTAAGTAGAAACTAAGTACCTTCCTCAACATACATACCACTACTGCTGATCGGTTATCGGGAAATACTGGAACTGGCTTTCATGAAACTTTTGGTCCCGGGGAACAAGGTCTCGTAGGTACATCTTATTAAAGATTTTGTTTAGTTGAAAGGCAGAGTTGACAGGGAGATCTTCCATCTGCTATCACTCCCCAAATGTCCACAATGGAGAGCGTTAGGCCAGGCCAAAGGCAGAAGCCTGGAACTGCATCCGGGTCTCCCAAAGCGGTGCATGGACCCAAACACCTTAGGCCTCATCAACTGCTTTCACCGGCAGATTAGCAGGAGATGGAATGAAGTGGAGCATTGGGACTCGAACCTGTGCTCACATGGGATGCTGGGCCATTGTGGGCTGCGGCTTAAACTGACCGTGCCATAGTGCAGGTCGTATCGGCCCATTTCTAAAACATTGGAGATCTTTGGGAAGATCACTTCGGTTCAGACCTGCTCGGTAAAGCAATCCCACAGCGTTCCTTTCCTCTGCTGCTTCACTGCTCGACTGCCTGCAACTGCTGTGGGCTGGGCCAGCCAAAAGCTAGGAGCCGGGAAAGCGTCCAAGCCTCCACGTTGGAGGAAGGGAACAGATGATATGAGTCAACATCTACTGCCTCCGTGTGTGTGCATTAGCAGGAAATTGAATCGAAACTGGTGCTTGGTCATGTATGGAATTTGGATTTCAAACCAGGATTTGGTTCCCAACTGCATCACGTACTCTAATCTGTCATTAAAAATGTTGTAATCTGTGTATGCCTTCATTCTCCTTCTGTTTTCCCGTTGCAGCCTTACACTTCTAGTCATCTACGAGACCCTCATCCACCCAGTTTCCACCATTGCACCACCATCCCTCCTACTCTATGTTAGCTTCAACCTACTTGAGAGCCTACATACTTGCCTCCCACTCTGTCCTCTCTGTATATCCTCCCATTCCTTCTGGCCCACCACGTTGGACTCACTTTCCTCGTAACCCTCGAACCCTTGGGGAGAGCCTCAGGTGGCCACTGGGCTCACAGCCCAAGAATGTCCAGAAGATTCTACTTGTTCTTCCTTCCTCATTGTACCCCCACCCCATCCCAGCTTAGGTGGCAACTAAGGCAGGGATGCCTGTGCCTACCATCTGCCAAGACTCCCTGTAGCACCTGCTCCTCAGCTGTCTACCTGGCCAGCCTGCACCCTTCCTTGGAGCTCTAGAGCCCCTCAGACCAGGATGGTTTCAGGCCCCTTGCTGGGTGGGAGCTCATCCACCTACCCCTCTGGATGGGCAGTGGTTGTAGGTTTTGAGGCCACAGTGCATTTGGTATTATGTACTAGGAGCATAAGGACTACTAGCTGCATGGAGCTGAGGTCAACAGTGGGCTCCCAGCCATGTCCACCTTCTCAGTGGCCCCATAGCCGTGTATGGTGGCATCTCCAGCAATACACCGCCCCTCCCATCAGTGAGCAGACAGCCTCATGGGCTCCTGAGGGACCACGGCCACCAGCAGGTATGGTCTCTTATGTTTATTTATTTATCTCTCTCTCTGTGTGTGTGTGTGTGTGTGTGATTTTTTAAAAATAAGCATTAGTTGATGTTAAAACAGAGAAGGGAATGGTTGTTTTTCTGTCTTAAAAACTGTTCAAAAGAGAAAGAAGAAAACAGGCATGTACCAGTTCAAACAAGAACAGATCCCATAGATGGATCAATCCCTGTATTCCTGCAACTCCTGGAACATGACCAGGCTGAATCTGAGAACCAAGGCTTTGAAGCACAGTTCAGGTCTCCCAAGTGGGCAGATGTGAGATAACTACTGGAATCAGCATCAGCTGTCTCACTGGAACCATGTTTGTAGGAAGCTGGAATCCAGGATGAAACCCAGAATTAAAACCCAGGCACTGTCTTATTGGACCTACATAGGCCTCTTCCTAGCCTCTTAACTGTTTGGCTAACCCGCTGCAAGGATGGTTCCCCTCTTCTTTGTCCCCCTTAGTGCATGCCTGTAAGGAATGAGTTCCTTACATTTTCATCCTGTAGTTACTAACTCAGTAATGTGCCAAGTACTTTACTGCTGTATTCTATCATTCTAATAATTGTCAAGATTTCTTCCATAAAAAAGGTTAAAAAGTGGAAGAAAGGAATCAGTTAAGGTTTTAAAAATTTAATAAAGAAGAACAAGTGTGACTCACTGAACATTTGGCCAAATATATGATTCCAAGGTGAATGTGGATGCCTTTCTTGTCCTAATGAAACTGAAACAGTTAGGGCTGTCCTTTTGTTTGTACAACTTAGATTTGAGAGGCTGAGGCCTGTGTCCTCAAAGTATGACATTTCCAGTGTCAAATGTAGATACGCAAAGATTCAGAAAATGATAACCTCGGGGAGTAGTAAATATGTGTGTCCCTGACAGCGGTTTCGTTTAGTTGTGTTGATGAGTGGAAACCATACATTGAAAATTGATTGCAGGAAATAACTTATGATATCCTTGCTTTTAGTAACATACATATAAAGTAATGGAGATTGATTTATGGTAACGATTCTACAATCATATATGTGGGCCGACCTCTTTGATTTAAGCAGCTGCTGCATAGAGATGCAAGCACCTTCATTGAAGCATTGAAGTTAAAAGTCATGTTAGTATTCTTGTCTGCCACTTCTTAAATATATTCCTTTCTCTGTTGTGCCTGTGTAGTTATTGCACAGAGTGGGAGAAAATGATTTAGAAAGTGTTTCTTTAGTTTCTGAAAGACAGTGTGTATAATTGTTGTCATTTCTTTGAATATTTGGCATAATTCACCTCTAAAACCATCAGGGAGTAGAGAGCTATCTTTCAGAAGATTTTGCCAAACTAAAAATTCTATTGCTTTGATATTTATAAGAATCATTTAATTCATTTCATCTTGTTTAAGCTTATAGTTTATAGCCTTCAGGGAAATGTATTATTTCAGATAAAGTGTTAAGTACATAAAGCTCAGCAGAATTTTAGCTCACTGTCTTTCTTAAAATATTTATTTATTTATTTATTAGCAAGTCAGAGTTACAGAGAGATCTTCCATCTGCTGGTTTACTCACCAGATGGCCACAACGGCCAGGGCTGGACCAGGCTTGAGCAGGAGCTTCCTCTGGGTCTCCCACGTGGGTGCAGAGGTGCAAGCACTTGGGCCATCTTCCACTGCTTTCCCAGGCCATAGCAGAGAGCTGGATCAGAAGAGGAGCAGCTGGGACCCAAACCATCACCTATATGGGATGCCAGTGTTGCAGGCAGCTTTACCTGCTACACCACCAGCACTGCCCCACTTACTATCCTTCTAATGTATATGTGGTGTGTGGCACCTCCATAATTTGTCTTCTCTTTTTCTTTATCATTGCAATAAAGATATATCAGTTTTGCTGACGCAGTTTTTGTGTTCACTAGTTTTTTGTTTTGTTTTCAATTTTAATCTGTTTCACTCTTTGACTTATTAGTTGCTCCCCTTATGCTTGGCTTAGTTTATTTTGCTGTTCTTTGTTATTTTTTAAACTAAAAATTATTGTTGAATAGATATCTTTCTTCTCTTCTAATAAATGCCTTTATTGCTATGAATTTTACTCCAATACTGCTTAAGTTGCATCTGTATAACTCTGATACATCTGCATTTTAAATTTTTTAAAGTTATATCCTTTTCTAATTTATCTTGAGACTTCCTCTTGACTTAGGGATTTAGAAGTGTATCGTGGGGCCAGCACTGTGGCCTAGCATGTAAGGCTGCCACCTGCAATGCCAGCATCCTATATGGGCACCGCTTTGAGTCCCCGATTGCTCCTTTTCGTATCCAGCTTTCTGGCCTGGGAAAACAGTAAGATGGGCTATGTCCTTGGGCCCCTGCACCGCGTGGGAGACCTGGCTCCTGGCTTCAGATTGGCTCAGCTCTGGCTGTTGCTGCCAATAGGGGAGTGAACCAGCAGATGGAAGACCTCTCTCTCTCTCTCTCTCTCTCTCTGCCTCTCCTTCTCTCTCTATGTAGCTCTGCCTTTCAAATAAAATAAATAAATCTTAAAAAAAAAAAAGGAAGTGTGTTGTTTTACACCAAGATTGGAAGTTTTCCAGCTATCTTTGTAGTATTAATTTATAAATTAAATAAATTTACATCTAATAACATTCTTTATAGCATTTAGTTTCTTTTAAAAAAATTTGAAAGTGTTTTATGATGAAGAAATGGGCTACATTGGTGAATTTCCTTACGGACTTAAAAAATGGGTCTTCTGTTATTTTTGGGTGCAGTATTCTAAAAACATCAATTATACCCATTTGATTGAAAGTTTGATGCAATTCTTCAATATCCTTAACTGATTGTCTTCTAGTCCTATCTGTTACTAACTGATGCGTCAACAATTACAAATAAAATTGTAAATATTTCTATTTCTCTTCGATTTCGTCAACTTTGCATAGTGAAGTTATGTTGCTATGTAATATGCATGTAGAATCATTTTATTGTTTTTTTTTAATTGCACCTTTGGGCAACATGCCATGACCCTTCTAACTCCTTCTAATTTTCTCTGCTCCAAATTGTACTTTCTCTAGTATAATACAGTCGTTCAAATTTTTTGGATTAATGTTGCACAGGATGTATTTATTTACCCCTTTTACTACTTTATCTATTTCGATGTATTTGAAGTAAGTTTGTCATAGACAGCATCAGGAGGGGTCATTTAAAATAAATCCTTTCTGAAATTTCTCTCCTTCACTTGCTGTGTTTAGGCCAGCTGCATTCAACATACTCATTGATAGTTTTGGATTTAGCCCAATTTCATCATCTGTTTTTTGACATTGAACTCCTTTATTTCAGTTTCTCCTTTCTTGCTGTCAGGTGACTTGCATGGTTTTTCATTCCATTTTAATTTATCAGTTTGTGATGTATACATTATCTGTTTCTATAGATTGTTAGTGACTGCCCTCAGAATTATAACACACACTTTCTTTTTCATAGGCTCGTAACAGTTTTGCCGTATCAGGGAGAAATTTTACCATCAGGTAGGTCCTTTCTTTTCTCTTCTATGTCATAGTTTTCTTACATATTCCACATATCCCAACAATCCACATTAAAAATTCATCAGGTGAATGTTATAATTTTTGGTTCAATCATTGAATCAATTTTGTTTTAAAAGATTTATTTATTTTACTTGAAAGTCACAGTTACACAGAGGGAGAGAAGGAGAGATCAGAGAGAGAGAGAGAGAGAGAGAGAGAGGTCTTCCATCCTTCCATCCCCTGGTTCACTCCCCGAGGGCTGCAATGGCCAGAGCTGCCCCAATCTGAAGCCAAGAGCCAGGAGCTTCTTCCAGGTCCCCCATGTGGGTGCCGGGGCCCAAGGACTTGAGCCATCTTCTACAGCTTTCCCAGGTCATAGTAGAAAGCTGGTCGGAAGTGGAACAACCGGGTCTCAAACCAGTGCCCATATGGGATGCGGGCACTGTAGGAGGCAGCTTATCTGCTATGCCACAGTACCGGCCCTCATTGAATCCATTTTAAAAACCTATTGGGGCCGGCACTGTGGTGCAGTGGGTTAAGTCTCAGAGAATGTGGCGGGTGAGATGGTGTCACTAGTCAGGGTTAGGGCCTGGAACTCTTCCTCTCCTGCAGTGGAAGGCTGTGTCTTTAACTGTCAGTGTGATGACATCCGCCGTCCAGAATGCACCTGTCACATCCAGGTCCAGGATGCGTGCTCGCACCCCAACACATTCGTGGGAGCTACTCGGAGGGCGCGCCAGCCGGAAGGAGCTGCACCTCCAGTGTGAATGAAGGCTGCCGTTTTCTCTCTTTCTCCGCGGAGCGCTGCACACCGGGAGCCAGGGACCACTTGTGCGTGCTATTACCCGTGCAGAGCCGTCCACCTTGGTGCTTTCCTGCTCTCTATCTCCGACGTGTGCACGGACTACCCCAACCATAGGTCCATTTTCGTTTTTTCTCTTTCTCTTGTCCACGGGCAGTTCTTTGGCCCGCTCTTGTTGAGCATTTTCTCTGTGCGGGGCAGCCCATCCTGGGCTCCTGAATGTGTGTGTGTGTTTCCTGGGTGCTACATAACCTCCTTCTATTTGCACGTGGGGCCGGTCTGCATTTTGTGTTTCTGTCTTGGAAGGAGACAAGAGCCTGCACCAAATTTAATATAATCTGGGTTCTGGTTCGAGTCTCGGCTGCTCCACTTCCTATCCAGCTCCTGCTAGTGCCCCTGGGAAAGCAGCGGAGGATGGCCCCAGTACCTGGGCCACTACACCCACATAGGAGACAGGGGTAGAGACAGGCTCCTGGCTTCGCCCTTGCCCCTGGCCTGGACATTCTGGCCATCTGGGGAGTGGAACCAGCAGGTGGAAGACCTTTCTCTCAGTCTCTCCCTCTCTAACCATGACTTTCAAATAAGTAAATAAATAAATCTTCAAAATCATTAATATGTTCATGGCCCACATAGTAGAACTCTGGGAAGTAAGCTCATGAAGAGTGAGGAGACTTTCCCCATCCCGCTCCTCTCCATAGCCCCTGATGGAGGTTGGGATTCTCTGCCCCTGCTGCTTTGTCTAAAATTTTTGGTCCGGAGGTGATTTACCCTGTGAGCTCTTTTCTCCAACCAGGCTAGGAAAGTTTTTGTTTTGTTTTGAGTTTGTCAGTGTTTTTCACTTGTTATGCATATGAACTGATGATCTACAAGCTCCTTAGTGTGCTGGACTAGATGCCAGCGAGGTTATTTTATGTTCATGCCTGGTAACATCTTATTGAAAGTTGGACATTGTATTAAAACTTATGAAGGCTCAGAATGATAATCTCATTGCCCAGAGATAATTTCACTCTATCATAGCCAGGCAAATAGCATGAGGGTCATAACTCAATCTTTTGGGGTGGCCCTGGCTCGGAGTCTGCATTTCCTTCCTTAGAAGAGTCTGGGCTTCGTCTCCACCCCTAGGCTGTGGACCTCCAGGGATCCCAGTGAAATCAGTGATGTTTACCAACGCCTCCTGATGGCTGATTCTCAGAACCGTAAGTTGGCCTCTTACTAAATGACCAAAACCTGCACTCCTCTTTCCATTCTTTCTTCCCTCTACTTCTTAGTCTGTTAACCTAATGTTGTAGTAGGAAAACTGGCATCTGGTCTGCTTGTGTTTTACTGTGACCTGCTGTTCTCCGGGATTTTGGTCCCTCAAGGTCTAGATGCTGGAAACTGGCAGTTAGCCTAGTGGCTCAAATGCCCACATCCCATGTCACGGTATCTAGTTTGATTGCTGGCTCTGGCTCCTGGCTTCAGCTTCCTTTCAAGGCATACCCAGGGAGGCAGTGATAATGGCTCAAATAATTGTTTTTTTTTTTTTTTTTTCTACTCACAAGGGAGACTTGGATGGAGATACTGGTTCCCAGCTCACTCCTTGGCTGCTGTGGACATTTGGTGAATAAACCAATGGATGGGAGTTCTCCCAGCTCCCTGAAATAAGTAACATCACCATTGAAAAGATCTGGATGTTTCATTGGCCCAAACTCCACCTTTTGTTCCCCTGGTTCTGATATGTGGAAAGCTCTGCCTGGGTAATGATCTTCCCTTGGCTTCTGGTCCATTCTCTGGCTGGCTCTCAGCTCCTTGCTTCAGACCAAAGTGGCTACTGCCAGTGGGAAGCACCTCACACCATTCTCCATGGGACTGTGGCCCTCAACTCCGGATCTTTCAGTAGCTCCCAAATACCTGCAACCAGATGCTTTTGTTTCATGCAGTTTTTCTGGTTGGTGTTCTTGGAAATGTTGGTCTTAGTAGAAAGGGAAGACCTGGGACAACTTATGAGAGTAAAGTTGCAGACAGGTGCTCCTAGCAACCTGTGAGATAACAGAAGTGGTATAAAGAGCCCAGAGGGCAGTGTTGGCCATCCAAGTAATGAGATGACCCCTGGCTATAATTGAGGCTCCAGTCTGTCCCACAGCTCCATGACTGAGTCACATCCTGAATGTCATTTGAGTGCAGTAACACAGAGTAGGTGCCCCAGGGACTGGGTTTTATCAGTCAGCATGGGTCTCTGGAGATTCCTATAGGCCACTGTGCGTACACATAGTTCCTGTAGGTCACCGTGTGTACCCATAGTTCCTATAGGTCACTGTGTATTCATAGTTCCTGTAGGTCAGTGTGTGTAACTATAGTTCCTATACTGTGCATACCCATAGTTCCTGTAGGTCACTGTGCATACCCATAGTTCCTGTAGGTCCTGTGCATACCCATAGTTCCTATAGGTCACTGTGCATACCCATAGTTCCTGTAGGTCACTGTGCATATCCATATTTCCTATAGGTCACCGTGTGTACCCATAGTTCCTGTAGGTCCCTGTGTGTACCCATAGTTCCTATAGGTCCCTGTGTGTATCCATAGTTCCTATAGGTCACTGTGTATCCATAGTTTCTATATGTCACTGTGCATACCCATAGTTACTATAGGTCACTGTGTGTACCCATAGTTCCATCCTTTGTATTAACATCCGTGGGATGGATGGTCTGGTATTGCCCACTAAGGTCCATCAGGGTTGATTCCAGTTCTTGCCTATAAAAATTAAGCTGCTGTAGACATGAAGTATTTTACATGAATGTAGGAATTAATTTTTGAGGATAAAAACCTCTGGCACTTTAATTTAATTTATTATTAATTTAGTGTTGAGAGACTACCAAGCTGGTTGCCCGTGTAGCTGTACCATTTCATAGCCTCATTAGCAAGGTAGGGTTGATCCAGTTTTCTCCACATCCTTGCTAGCATTGCATATTTTAAGTGATTTTTATTTGAGCCAATTTGATAGGTCTATACTGACATCCCAGGGTGGTTTGTACTTGCATTTCCCTCATGGTAATGACATGGAACATCTTTTCATGGGCATATATGCCGACTGCATACTTCTTAGGTGGAATGTGTGTTTTTCTAACTGGATTGCTATTTTACTGTTCAGTTGTGAGAGTCTTTTACATTTTCTAGATACTAGTCCTTTGTCATCTGTGTTGTTTGTAAATACATGTCTTAAAGTATTTACCTCATTCTTTTTTTAAATTTTTTAAAATTTATTTGACGGGTAGAGTTATAGACAGTGAGTGAGACAGACAGAGAGAAAGATCCTCCTTCCGTTGGTTCACTCCCCAAATGGCCACTAGGCCGGCGCTGCACCAATCCGAAGCCAGGAGCCAGGTGCTTCCTCCTGGTCCTCCCATGCGGGTGCAGGGCCCAAGCACTTAGGCCATCCTCCACTGCACTCCCAGGCCACCGCAGAGAGCTGGACTGGAAGAGGAGCAACCGGGACTGGAACCCGGCACCCATACAGGATGCCGGTGCTGCAGGCAGAGGATTAACCAAGTGAGCCATGGTGCCGGCCCCTACATCATTCTTTACTGCTTTATAGTTTTCTGGACATTTTGTCATTTTATATTTAAGTTTGTGATCATTTTGAGCTCCGTTTTAAACAAGCTGTGAGACTAGGTTGAGTTTAATTGTTTTCCTCTGGGTAGCCTGTTGCTCCAGGACTATTTGTTAAAATCTTACCTTTATCGCTTCTTGGCCTTTTCACTGAGATCAAGTGTAAAAAGTCTACCTTTCTGCTGTCGACTTGCTCTTCACTTTTGTCAAAATAGTTGAACATCTTTGCTTTATTTCTTAGTTCCCTATTCTCTTCTCATCGTCTATCCACGTACCCATCTACATACACCACACAGTTTTCTTACTTTAGCTGTTTCTTGAAACCAGATTATTTATTTATTTATTTGTTTGTTTGTTTTGAAAGATTTATTTGAGAGGCAGAGTTTCAGACAGAGAGGTCCTCCATCTGCTGGTTCACTCCCCAAATGGCCTCAACGGGTGGAGCTGGGCTGATCAGAAGGCAGAAGCCAGGAGCTTCCTCTGGGTCTCCCATGTGGGTGTAGGGACCCAAACACCTGGGATATCTTCTACTGCTTTCCTAGGTCATCAGCAGGGAGCTGGGTCAGAAGTGGAGCAGCTGAGACTCGAACTGGTGCCCATACGGGATGTGGGCACTGCATCCTGAACCAGGCTGCATTAGGAAGCTGGACTGGAGGTGCAGGTGGCAGAACGCAAGCCTGCCCTCTTATATGGGGTGGCTGTGTCCCTAGTGTGCCTTAACCCACTGTGCGATAAACGTGCCCTGGATTATGAAATCCTCTGTGTGGTTGACCTCTCTGCTCTTGGTCGGAAAAGGTGTAGATGCTGCCTGGTTACTGCTACATAAGGGGTATAGGTGCACATTCCCTGCTCAGCCTCCATTGAGATCCAAAATTGGTGAATTCTTTGTTACTTGTGCTTGGACATGGAAGTTCCAGCTCCTCCCTGGGTCCTAACGGGACACCACGATGTGGGGCAGGGGGAGGGGGGTTGCTCATTACCCCTGATGGGTAGTCATAAAGTCTGGTTTCCCACCACGATGCCTCTGACGCTGCCCTGGCAGTTATGGATGGAGAGGGCTGATTTTCATCCTTCCCTTCTCTGTGAGCGCCCTAGTTGGAGACAAGCCTCACTTGAGTGCCACAAAGGTGGGAACGTCTAAGCTTGCCTCTTGGTTTTTGTTGGTGCAGGTGAGGGGTGGCCATGGTCCTTTCCTCTGGCATTTTTGCCGTAGTGAAACAGTTATTACCCAGTTTTCTGTCTTGCAAGACTGCATGTTTCCTAGTACTTTGGATACAGAGAATAGTACTCTGTGGAGGGGCTGCTCTGTGCCCTTGGTGTTGCCCAGTTGTG